AAAACCCCTTTGTTGTGAAGCAACCAAATAGGTTTGTCAACTCCATTAAGTATCCTAGGAAACGTACTTAACAATTGAAGGAATCTTGCAATCTCTGTAACTTCCCAGTCATTCATAGCTCGCCTGAAAACCAAATTCCATCTTTGTGGACTCCAGACTTGTGACACTGAAGCATTTTTTTGTGAACTTAAAGACATATAGCCGAGGAAACAGAGTTCTCAAATTGTTTTCCCCTATCCAGAGTTCATTCCAAAAATCTATTCTTACTCCATCACCCACTTTAACGGAGATATTGGTATAGAATTGTGGCCACAACCTTCTGATGGACTTCCAGACACAACAACCAAAAGTACCCAAAACCTCTTCAATAGACCATAGGTTTAGTAAACCATATTTCTCAGCGATAAATCTTCTCCATAGATCCCTGTCATCTATGCAGAATCTCCAGAGTCACTTCTGCATTAATGACTCATTCTGGATATTAAGGTTTTTGATCCCTAACCCCCCGTGATTCTTATTGAGTGTGAGGGTATCCCATTTAACCAGATTGTACCCTCTTTTTTCCTTACTACCTTGCCACAAGAAGGATCTCCTTAACATGTTAATCTTCTTCTCTATACTCTAGGGAATTGGGAACAAGCTCATCATATAAATAGGGAGGGCATCCATTACAGATTCGATGAGTGTCAACCTACCTCCCAAAGATAGATATTGGCTCTTCCACCTTTGATAGTTTTTTGCCACTTCTCTCCAAGACTTCATTCCATACCTCGGTTTCTTTGTTTTCGGCTCCCAAAGGTAAACCAAGATATTTGATTGGAAGGGGAGCCACCTGGCATCCAAGAGTATCTGCTAGCAGTGGCAAGTTGTCCACCTGATTGACTGGATGGATAAAGCTCTTATGCCAATTAACATGCAATCCAGAAATACCTTCAAAAACAGTTAGGATAGCTCTAAGGTGTCTGATCCTATCTGCATCACAAAAAGCTAGTGAGTCATCAGCATATAATAGGTGAGTGACTTCCATAGCACTACCATTGCTAGGTGAAGCACGGAAACCCTTAATCCACCCATTGCTCTTTGCCATTCTGATCATGTGATTTAAACCTTCCATGGCTAAAATAAAAAGAAAAGGAGACATGGGATCTCCCTGTCTCAATCCCCTTTGTGATGGAAAAAACCCTTCATTACTACCATTTATGATGACGGAGAACTTCACAGTGGATATACAATAACTGATCCAGTTTATCGGAGGGCAAATTTGCCCTCCCTTTCCCATCTCCTTATTCCTTCCATTGTACACCACTAATTTGCCCTCCCATTTATTGCTTCCCCCTTCCCAACATGTCAGCTCTTTCTACACCTTCTCCACAGCATCCCAAGACACTTGGAGGTGGCAAGGTTATACCCTCCGCAACAATGTACACCACAACATAGCCACTATTCAGGAAGTGGACGGGTAATAATGAAGAATTCTCTATTATGTCTCTCTATGAGAAGCCTTTGACAAGGGAGGTTGTCTTTCCATTTAGTTCGATTTGGATCTCTAAGGTACCTAAAAAAATGTGTTAAAACTTGGTTAACAATAAGAGGGGTGATTCTGACGGTTGAGATTTTGAGAAGAGGAAGGTTATTTATGTCAGTTGGTGCTTTATGTGCAAGGGTTCAGGTGAAGATGTCAACAGCCTACTCATACATTTTTTTAGCAGCTAGACTATGGTGGGAAATAGTTAGATGGTTTGGGTCAGTTCAGATGATGCTAGACATTGTAAAAGTGGTTATGTTCATCTGGAAACATTGTAGAAGGACAAGATGCACGGCATTGAAGCTTGCACCCGCTTGGGTTGTTTGGCGAGAAAAAAATAAGAGAGCTTTTGAGAAGGTGAAAATAACTTGGTACAGTTGAGAAGTATATCTTTCATTTTGATTTGGTGCACCCATGAAATTCCTTTATTGAAGATTGGGTCTTTCTCAGAAAGCCATTTATGTTTGTATTTAAGTAAAACTTATTTCTTTTTTTAGTCTAGTTCCAATAAGAATGATTCATTTCTAAATTTTACCCTTAATAAGAAACTTTTATAGCCACACAAATGTTATGGCATATTTAAAATCATAAGTTTCAAAAATTAAGAATGTTATGGCATATTCAAGACCACAAGTGATGCATACACGCCAAGGCAAGCTCAGGAGTTGAAGAGCATCTCATCAAGTAACTGTGTCAGGGGCTTGAAGAAAGTTTGAAATGAAGGTTTGAGGCTCAAGAACATGCTTTTCACAATTCAAGGAACCTCAAGTACACATCTTCAAGTTATACTCTCCTTGATCATGAAGATGAGGCACTTGAAGCTCAAGAAAGGCTCGTCTGGTCGGTGGTGTGTAATTGGTGCCCAATCAAGTCTAGGGGGTAATTTGGGACCTGACATAACGCCAGGAAAATTATACTCCCTCCATCTCATTTTATGTGACACTTTTTCCTTTGTAGTCCGTTGATATACCGTGAGTTTACGGTATTTCTAATACATTTCACTTACAAGTTGTGTGTCTAGGGCCTTTTGTATTGGTTTTTATGTGTTTTTATTGTATTTTGCAGGAAAGATGTTCAGGCGCGGAGGTATAGAGACGGCTGAAAGAAATGCAGAAAAAGGGCATTCACGGAGGTGATCTACGGACCGTAGGTCCATTGACGGTCCGTGGGTGATGGCCGTAGATCAGCAGGCAAGGTATGGATGACAAATCAGGGAAATCTGACCAAGTGTGGAACCACGGTGGCCATTGACGGTCCGTAGACCGTACTGATTGATCCGTAGAATGATGCTGCGAGGGTTCCAGTACCTGATTTTTGAAGATTCTAAGTATGAAGCTACGGAGGGGATTGACGGACAGTAGATCAATCTATGGTCTGTACTGCAAGTCCGTTGTTTGCTTCAGAGAAGCTGATTTTTGGAGGCTGAAATAGTTTCTAAGTCCTGGCTGACGGAAGGGACTTACGGACCGTAGATCCATTGACGGTCCGTAAGTCAGTCTCGTGGAATGAAGACGCGTGCCTGAACAAACTTTCCTTCATTTGTTTCCTTTTTAATTTAGAATTTGTTTTCTATAAATAGGACATGTAAACCTCGTTTTTGGGGGTTAGACATTATTATTCTAGTTTTATTTTGTAACTTTGGAGATTAATTTGCAACTTTAGCAATTATTGATTTCCTAAGTTCGTTTTGAAGACTTTGGCTTTGCAATTCAAGTTGAATTTCTGGGTTTATTATTCTCTTTACTTAAGTTCATGATTTCTTCATCTAAAACTCTAAATTGTGTTCTTGCTAATATGGGTAACTAAATCCACAACTAGGGTTGTGGGAACCATGAGCGATTAACAAATTATGAATAGTAAATAAGCAATTCTTGAATAGTGTTTTGCATGCATTGATAATTCTTTCGTTTAGAAGTCTTTTTAACGAATGCACGCGTTAAAACTCACCTTGTTGCTACTTGCCGGACCAAGGAGGTAATCAACAAGAAAAGAATTATCAACATAGATTTAGTGTGATACTATCTAATAGGCTAGTGTCGATTGGTGCAAAGTAATAACTAAGCCAAACATCGATTATGATGTCTAATATGAGGTAAAGGTAAGGGTTAGTAAATTATACACACGTAGCCGGACCAAGGTGCGGGGTGAAATTCTCTAGATGCCGAACCAAGGATTTAGAGATACCTAACTTATCACTTTGCATGTAATACACTAGGAAAGGATTGCTGTTACTAGGATTACTGTGTTATGAGCTTGTGGGGAACACGTATACCCTAGGTATTTGTCTTACCTTGATAACAACCAAAGTTGAGTTTTGATTACTGATTACTTATTAAATTCTTACTATTTGTTTCACACAAACAAACCCTCCTTTAATTACCTGTTTCTGGAAGTAATTTTACTAATTGAATATAATTGTTGGTTAAAGTAAAGTCTAAACCATTTTCATCGTGGGATCGACCCCAACCCACAAGTTGGGTTCTTTACTTGATAACGATCGCTTATACTTCTGTAGGGAGGTGTAATTTGAGCGTATCATCCGTCCTAAAAAGAATGTCAACTTAATATAATTGGAAACAATATCACTTTAAAATTTCCCTTTTTACCCTAGTCAAATGATTTACAACAACACAAATATCTGAGGATTGCTTTAGACCACAAGTTTCAAAAAAAAAAAATCTTAAACTCCGTGCCAAGTCAAACTGTGCCACATAAAATAGGTTGGAGGGAGTAGTTGTTTCAGAAAGCAATTTAAGTTATAAAGACCGAGATAGTAGTTCACCTTGAACGGGTTAAATCATAACATAAAGTTGTTGGAGACTTTGGGACAGTTGATGAAATTCACACATCTTGTTTTGATCATTATTGTCGCATAACAAAATAAAACATTGTAGCTCTTGGTCCGGGTCTCACCGCCACCCAAATATAAAAAAGTATTGTTTTCATGCTTGGCCGGCAAAAAAAAGAATTAGGCTAACACATGAGAAGACTTTTTGCGGAAGTTAATAAATAAAGTGTTCCCTCTTTGACAGCTTAAGTTTACAGATGAGGTGGTCAATCATTTCAACAATTACCACTACATATATAACATTGGTAAATTGAGACAACTTGCACCTGACTGAAAGAAATCTAATCCAAAGTTAGATTAGACTAACACAGCTATCAGGTTCGGAAATGAAGCAGCACTGGAGTAACAGGATTTCAGTACTGGATCAGCACAAAACCTGACCTAAATAGGGAAATCAGCACTGAAACCAAGATAACACAGGAAGAATAGGAACTCACAATCTTCAAAACCTTAACACCACAAGAAGCAGTAAACTAGTGAAACTGTATTATCGCAACAATTAGAAGGGTGACATCAAAGTGAATGTATTAATGCACTAGGGAAATGAGCAGAAAATTCTTGAACTCCGAAGAAATTTTGCAAAGCAAGAAAAAAATTGCTTTCAATTAAATAGTGATGACAACATACAGGATTTCGGAAGAATGACATCAATGATATCACAGCAGTAACCACAGGCACTGGTTTTGCCGTCAGTGACATGACTGCTTGACAAAAGACGGTGAAAGTGGGCACAACCTGAAATGAACCATAAGCAGGTTTTAGTTTTTCCTGTCAAACATCTTCACAAAGTAAAACAAGATCAGGGATATCCATGAATATCAGTCTTCTGAAAATGAACTTCATTCAACCTAGGTGCTGTAAATTTTGTTTAATAGACTGATTCCAGCAGTAAAGAAAGCAGGAAAACTCTGAAATCTATAATTATCACAGAATGAGAGAGAAAAATAAACAACTCAACAGGGTGTCGGTATGAGAAAAATATTAGACAAAGATCATGAAGTCCAAGTTGGGACACCTTTCACTTGATTAAAGATTAGAATGCTTTATGCAGATGCTCCAAAAAAAATAATGCAAGAATTACTGATGTCTGATTTTGTCGACAGCAAACTCAATCTGGATCCCCAGAAAAAATAAGCTCGAAGAATTGAGCTCAAATAAGTAAATGCACACTACATTATTCTCATCCTCTCTCACCCACAAAAAAGCATTCATTCCGGGATGAATTTCTCAAGCATTTCGGTTCCTATTGAAATAAGCTAGTAAGTAACAGACGAGGAAGATTTTGCTTTTATTCAACCTGAGGTGGAAAGGAACAGGGGCGCAGAGATTGAAGAAAAGCAAACTTTCTTCCAAATGCATGCAACCCTTCAAGAAGTTTATAAAGAGAAGCAAAAATTTTATCAAGCATACCCTTGACAAATCGGAAAGCATACTGGAAAGAATATCCAATCCCAAGACAATAGCCTGCTGTAATCCTTCAATATCTGTCAGTCCATAAAGCCGGCTGAAATAGAGCTTCTGTTGAAGAAAACATAAAGCAATGGTATCAAGTGTGGATCCTGCATCCTGGCTAAAGATTCAGCGCACATTAGAGTTTATTAGCATATTTCAGGGAACAACAGGTTGCAAGATGCACCTCCAGGCCATCTGAAGTTGTGCAAACAAGTCGAAAGAGTGCATTGTGGATTGAAGAATCACCAAATAAAATATCCTTGACCACTTCACCAAGTTTCTGGATATATGAAATGGACAAAATGCATTTCTTCAAGACTTCAAGCACCTAAAAGCAAATAAATAACAAAGTCCATCTTCCTTAGCATTCAGACGGTACAATTTAAATGATTATAAAGTCAATTTGTAACACAGAGAATGACTCAGTAAATATAGCAATAACAATAGGAAGATACCCAATGTAATCCTACAAGTGGAAGATACCCAATGTAATCCTACAAGTCATTAATACTTGGAGATATGAAGAAAACATGCTGGAAGTGGTTTTGCTTAATGGGAGTGGCCAAAACTGGAAAACAATGCAAAGAAAACAAGGAGACCTACAGGGGTTCCTATGACAGCCTCCCATGTGAATCGAGGAAATCTCAGGTCCCAGGAGGTGACTTCACACCGCGAGGTAGTGCAAAGGAGACAAGGGGACCTTAATAGATAGTTTAGTTCACTTGTGTGTCAAAGTATGCCCGTCTTGCACAGAATATAATTCTGTATTGAGTACTGGGAGGGGGAGGGTTTTCTGTAGTAAAACTTCCATTTGGTTTTAGTATTGTACAAGTTCTTGAAATGAGTAGGGAATTTTAATATTGTTGAATGAATTCCCAATCTCTTCAACATTGCCAGTGACCCTGACTGTGGCCATTTCACATTACAGTGAAGGAAACTCTTGGGCTCCATGATTCAGAAAACATGTCCAAAATTGAGAATTGGAAGAACCGAGTTCAAGACAAGCCACTATGGTGAAATTTTTTTTTTTTGAAATCAGTAACTTTGTATCATTTCAAGGATCAAAACAGTACTTGGGTAGTACTGAAACCATATTTACAATAGAGCTCTAGTGTCTTTCCTTTCTAGCTATAGAGAATCTAGAACATCTATGATAGACACAGTATCATTAGCTGTTTTGAACATACTATTCAGTCCTTCCATGGCAATGATAAACAAGAAGGGAGACAGAGGATCTCCTTGCCTGAGACCCCTTTGAGCCTTAAAGAAGCCAGCAGGTGATCCGTTAATCAACACAGAATAACTAACAGTGGATATACAAAATTTAATCCAATGTATCCATTTCTTCCCAAAGCCCAACTTCTTCAGCATGCGTAGCAAGTACTCCCAGTTTACATGATCATATGATTTTTCAATATCTAGTTTGCATAGGATACCAGGCTTCTTTTGCTGCACTCTTGAGTCTATTGCTTCATTTGCCACTAAAACTGCATCCATGATTTGTCTGCCTTTGATTAAAGCCATTTGCTGAACATCCACCAGATTGGAGATCACTCCTTTCAGCCTCTCTGTCAATACTTTGGAGAATAATTTGTAGATGCTTCCTATCAAGCTAATAGGCCTATAATCTCTTAATTCTTTAGCACCTTTCTTCTTAGGGATAAGAGTTATGAATGTTGCATTGAAGCTTCTTTCAAAAACTTCTTGCTCATGGAAGTTATGAAAGGCATTCATAATGTCCTGTTTCACAATCTCCCAGCACTTAATGAAGAAACCCATGGAGAAACCATCTGGACCAGGAGCTTTATCTCCTGCGCACAGTTTCAGACACCTTAAGACTTCCTCCTCAGTGAAGTTTTCCTGCAATCTCACCTTGTTTTCCACTGAAAGAGTTGCACAATTATTGAGCATGTTGATGGGTCTCCAGTGAGTGGTCTCTGTATACAACTTTTGATAGAAGTCGATAATGGCACTTTCTATTCTTGTAGACTCCTCGGTTAATTCACCTTGCACCATTAGCTGGTCTATGTAGTTGAACCTTTTATGAGCGTTTGCCACTTTATGAAAGAACTTGGTGTTCCTATTGCCTTCCTTTAACCATAAGGCCCTTGACTTCTGCCTCCACGCAATTTCTTCATTTTTAATCAGACCCTCCAATTCTAAGGTTAAATCTGCTTTCTTGGCTGATTCTTGTTCTGTCAAAGGTCTATATTCCAGTATCATATCCATTTCAGCCAATTGTCCTAAAGTTTGTTTTCTTTGGATCACTAGGTTGCCAACCTCACTCCTGCTCCAGTCCTTCAGTTTATGTTTGAGTGCCTTCAATTTACATGATAGCACAAAGTCAGGCCTGCCTTTAAAACTGAAGGAATTCCACCACTCTTTGATCCTGTCATTGAAGCTTGCAGTCCCAAGCCACCAGTTTTCAAATTTAAAATAATTCTTCTATTTTATCCAGGAACCACCCTGTAAAGCCAAAGGAATGTGATCAGAGGCCAACCTTTGCAAAGGGGACTGCTTTATGTTGCTGAAACAGTCATCCCACTCTTCTGAGAGTAAGAATCTGTCGATCCTGGAAGCTGTGTCGTGATTGTCCCCCTTGAACCAAGTATAATTGCCATCTTGCAGCTGAAGGTCGATTAAGTTCATATCTTCAATGAAATCTGAGAACTCTATCATCCCTCTTGATCTCCTGTTGCAATTTCTCTTCTCCGAGACATATCTTGTAGTGTTGAAATCACCACAAATAGCCCAAGGACCTTCCATTAAACCCCTGACATCTGCAATTTCTTCCCATACCTTTCTTCTTTCAATATAACAGTTTGGAGCATAGACTCCAGTTAAATGGCAAGAGAAGCTCTGAAATTGTGCCTCAAATTTACATGTTAATGTATAGGCCCCAATTTCCAAAACTTCCCCCTTCCAGGCTCTGCAATCCCACATCATCATGATACCTCCTCTAGTGCCACTTGCTTCAAGGTAGGCAAATTTGATCCATCTTCCCCCCCATATTTGTTTAACTAAGTTTGTAATTTCCCCCTCCAGTTTAGTCTCCTGGAAGCATACTATGTCTGCTTTCCAGTCAACTACCAATGTCTGCACCAATCTTCTTTTTTCCCTATCGTTCAGCCCCCTGACATTCCACGAGACTAGTTTGAATTGCATGGGTCACTATTTAGCAACTTTCTCCCCTTGTTTCTGCATCCACTATCTTTGAATTTAACATCAAAGGTGACAAGACTTTTAAGTTCTTGCACCCCTTTGCATCTACTCCTTTTACTAATGCCAACAGATTCTATCCTTCTTGCTTGTCTACAACTATCAACCTGTAGAAGTAATTCTAAGGCCTCCTCTTCATGTCCTTGGAAGTCGATCCCCAGTAATTTGCTCAATTTGATCATGTTTTGTTGGACCCATGCTGATGTCTCCCTCTCTTCTTCGATGATAGCTTGTTCTTGATGAATATGAAGAGGTACCACCTCTTCAATCTCCAGAATTTCAGCCGGAAATTGGTAGACACGCGATGAGCTTACTTGCTAATTCTTAGCTAGAGGGATGCAACATCAATGACCAAGCAGAGAGGATAGTATGCACTGGCGTACACCAAGTAATGGTATTTACTCCGTGAGCCTACTATGCACAGCTGATCTCCTACTCTGAAATCACAGAAAGTTGGCCATGGAAGCAAATATGGAACACCAAACTGCCTCCAAAGATAAAATGCTTCAGCTGGACAGCTCTATATCAAGCCTGTTTGACACAAAACAACCACAACAAAAGAAGTATACAAACTGTGAACGGGTGCATGTAGCAGAATGAATCCAACAGCCACATCCTCTTGCATTTTAGAGTAGCTGGGGATATCTGGAGTAAATTACTCACTATTTTGGGCTCTCATGGGTCATGCCTATCTGCACCAAAAGTGCTTACGAAAGCTGGAGTCTGTGGAAAGTTGATATTGCCATCAAGAAAATTTGTAACACAGTTCCAGCCTGCATTTTCTGGGTTATCTGGACTGAAAAGAATTGCAGATGTTTGATGTAGTATCAACTCCTACCCACACCCTTAAGACTAGGAAATGTTTTCCATGGAAAAGGTTTTCTTGAAAAATGTTCTTTAGGAAAATAAGTCGGTTTCTTGCTTATTTTCCTGTGTTCGGTAGATAAGCAAATAATATTATCCTAAAAGCATTTGCATATAATTCAAACAAATGATATGGGTGGTCGGGATGGGGACGTAGGGGTGTGGGATGGGGGGAGATGAGGGCTATGGGGGGTGGGGGTAAAGATGAGGTGTATTGGAGGGTGGGGAGGACACAATCAATGTGGAATATCATTAGTGCAACTAGTTTTCCCTACTTTCATTGGGGAAGTCATTTTCCTCATTTTTAAGGAGCTTATTTTCCTAGAGAAAATGTTTTCCAAAATATTTGACAAACTGAACATGAGAAAATTTGAAAACATGAATACACCCTAGATGTTTTTTACTTTTATTTAGCTGCCACAATCTCTCGTTTGTAACCTGCCCTTAAAATTTTCTGGACTTCATTAGCTCCCTTATAATTTAGGCAGTATTGCTGGAGTTAACCCTATCTTTTTGTCACCTTCTTGCACCTTCTTGATGTCTCTCAATAAAACTTCTTACTTCATCAAAAGAAAAATTCATGAAATGAGTATTGTTTAAGCTTAGGGTTAAAATGGAGAAGAAGATAAATAATGGTAGTGTGAGATATATTACCTTGATAGGTGGAGGGTACAAAATCATGTCTAAACTTATCACTAAGGCTGAAAACTGTCATGGGGAAATTAGTAGATGAACACCAAATGGCCTTTTCGAAAAGAAGGCAAATTATAGATGTAGCTTTATTGGTCAATGAGCTGGGGGACTCTAGGGTGAAACAAAAGACACTCGATATCCTATGTAAGCTTGTTATTCAGAAGGCCTATGATCATGTCAATTGGAATTTCCTTCTTAACATTCTAAATCATATGGGTTGGCAACAAATGGATCAGATACTGCCATATCCAATGTGAAATTTTCACTCATCATAAATGGAGCACTGAAGGTTTATTTCCGGTCCCAAAGGGGATCGAGGCCGGGGGACCTTTTCTCCCTTTCTATTTTTACTAGCAATGAAGGCTTAAATCACATGACCAGGATTGCAAATGGAAAAGGATGGTTGAAGGGTTTCAATGCACAGACAGCCAGGGTTGATGCATTGGAGGTTACACGCATCCTGTATGCAGATGACCCATTAGTTCTTTGTGAAGCAGCGGAGATTCAGATCGGGCATCTAAGGGAAATTCTCACCATTTTCAAAGGCATTTCTCGATTACAGTACGAAATGGAAAAATAATCTTCAATATTTTGGTGAACTCTCTAATAGGTAGTGTTTCTTGGTTGTGTCGATGCTAGCAATGAATCTACCTATTCCACCAAAATCTATAACTTTTGAGAAGATTATTGAGAGAATCGGACTGAAAATGTTGTACAAGTTGTCACTTATAATGCTAGTGAGAATGTTAAAGCGGGTGACATGACGATGGGCGTGTACCCACACATTTAATGAACTCCATGTGCTGCATCAATTTGATGTTTGGTGACATATTCAAGATTAACTCATATGCTTCAGGTAATATAACTACCCTCTCCTCTAACTTTCTTTGTCACACCTATTAAGAAAACAATGATTGGTATAGTGAGTTTACCATTTTACCCCGATTAATTGATAGTCTTGAACATATTTACTCACTACATTTTTCAAAGACATTACCTCAATGTTAATAAATTGAGGGTATAATAGGAAAAAAAAATTGTTCTTCCTTGATTTGTCAGAAATGATAAGTAAAAAGCGAATAAAACTAGGAAATTTTTGACAAGTAAATAGGGACGGAAGGAGTATTAGCTACTAATTACTATAATCTTACTTTTACAGTTTTTAAAAAGGCCACCAAGATCTATTCTTACATTAGTCAAAGACCATGTTGTTGAACTTGATGAAGAAATTCACAAGAGATAAAAAATTGGTGAAACCTACCAAGACAAGATTTGCAATGGCCTTCTTAACTTTGCAAGCTATGTACATGCAAAAGAAAAACTTGAGAACTATTATGCTCTCAACCGAATGGACTACAAGTAGATTTGCAAAAGAAATTTTGGGGAAAGAAGTTGCCATCCATCTTATTTCTGAACACATTTGGAATGATGTTGTCTAGCCACTAAAAGTTGGTGGTCCTTTGATCAGCGTGATTCGTTTGGTGGATGGGGAAAAAAACCACCAATGGGCTATAATTATAAAGCAACGGATAGAGCCAAGGAAACTATTGAACGGGCTTTTTGTGAAGTTCAGAAGCAATATGAGAAAGTGTTTGGAATCATTGATGCAAGGTGGACTGACCAACTCCATTGTCCTTTGCATACAGCAAGTCATATTATGAACCCAGGATTGTTTTATACTTCCCAGGTACTATAGATGTGTTGAGAAGATGGTCCACAATATAGCAATTCAAGATATACTAGTCGCTGAGCTTCCTAAGTACAAAAATGCAAATTGGATGTTTGGTTGAGGTCAAGCTATTATAGCCAGAGACACAAGGTCACCGGGTAAGTGAGTTGGTTTAGTCATCTTTATAGCTTTACTTAAGTTATGTGACTTATTTATACTTATTAACCTCTAAATTTATTTTTTTATAGTTGAATGGTTGTCGCTATTTGGTAGTCAAACTCTAACCATGCAAAAGTTTGTCATGAAAGTAATAAGTCTAACTTGTATCTCATCTGGATGTGAGTGAAATTTAAGTGTGTTTGAACATGTGAGAAGAAGATCTATTATATCTTAATTTCTATATGTATTACTTTTTATAAAGGTAACATTTTGTATATCAACCATCATCTCAAAGCTAGTATCCAAAAATTTACATCATATCTTACATCCAGAGGAGTGTGCCTATCAAACAAAAAGATAAAGAAAAAAGCAAAACTATCACTAGATCCTCCTTCATCTTATAAGGATCGTAGGATGTCTATGCTTAAAGTCCTCATAGATCATGTCTATGTTCTTATGCATTTCCCCATACTTAGTACATTCCATGTACTAATGCATATTTGTGGCTATATAGTCTTATAATATAGGTTCCAACACTTCTCCTCCCGGACGTGCCTAGATTCAAGATTGCTCAGCTTGACTACTTGGATTAGTGAGTCCTCATGCTCTGAGGACAAGTTGGACAATTGATGTTTTAGTTGTTTCAACTTTATGTCCATTGTTTCAAACTTGTACGTAGTGTATGGGTTACGTCTCAATCAATCTAATACTCCGGCATATGCGCATGTTTCGGCCAGTTTTTCGGTGACTTATTTAATATCGACTCGTCTATTGATTCCAACATGATCCACATACTTTAAACTAGATTTTGAGCACTTACAACGACCGTTGCATTGTGAAGAAGTCTATATGGAGCAACCACCTAATTTTGTCGCTCAGGGGGAGTTTAGTAGCCTTGCATGCTGATTACGTAAGTCACTCTATGGTCTAAAACAGTTTTTGCAAGCTTGGTTTGGGAAGTTCCAACACTGTAATTTTATCACTCCCGTGTTTTATCGGCATTATGCATCAAATTCAGTATTTCATGAGAAGACCAAGCACATTGAGATTGATTGTCAATTTTGTGAAGTCGAGTGATCAACTTGTAGATATCTCACCAAGCCCCTCATCGGTCCTCCTGTTAATTACATTTGTAACAAGCTAGGTACATGAATTGTATGCACTAGCTTGAGGGGGAGTGTTAGAATAGGAATAGGTTTATACAATCCTATTAGAATAGGAATAGGTTTATACAATCCTATTAGAATAAGAATAGGTTTATACAATTCTATTAGAATAGGAATAGTAATAGAAATAGAAATAGAAATAGGAATACTAAATAGCATCCTACTTGGTAAAGGATTGTATTCTAGGGCCTATAAATAGGGTCTCAATGTAATAATGTAAACAACAACAATTCAATAATATATTTCTCCTATATTTCTCACAAGTCACAATAGATATATACCTAAAAAAACTAATTTTAATCAAGTATAAATAGTGCAATTTTCTGCCGAAAGGGGGTTGGGATGAACCCCCTTAGTCCTACATAGCTCCGTCCCCATCCGTAACCCTCCTATTCTATAGAATCTCAATAAAGGAGACAAAAAAAAACAGTATCCAAAATGGTTGCCTAATCTCCAACCAGGACTATTTTAAGCAGAAAATATCATGTCATTCAAGCAAGCTTAGCTGTTTAATTTATAGAAAATGAGAGGAGTACCTTCAGTGTCACCTTCCACCGAGTGTGCTTGATTTTATAATTCCAGAATTCATGATTAACAAGGACATACTGAATGGAGAAAATGACTAGTGCAAGGACAACATCGTTTTCCATTCCAGAATCCATAAGCTGCATGGTGAAGTCAAGCACTGAAGATGAAAAAATAGTGTGTAAGATAAACCCTACAGAAAATGGCATAAAGAATCTAGTCACACAATCGAACAAAATATGCCGTCATGACTAATGGCCAATGAAAATGGGACTCCCAAAAACATATTGGGTTAGACAGAAGAAGCGATATATCTATGTTTCAGCGACAGAAGCGATGGACACCCTTGGTATAACAGCAATTAGAACACCAATAACTTTATATAAAATACAAACATGTCAAACATAATTGATAAACATAAGTAAATAAATAAATACAACTAAAGAACATGCCTGAAAGTGTCAATTGACAATCATTCTGCTCACAGTCGATCAAAAGCATTTTCGCGAGCCGACCAGAAAGCAACCACGATCCACTAAAGCAGCCCAAAAAACACAGAATAAGGTGTCCAGATAACTTTGATTTTTCAAGAATTACAGAAGTTTCTTGATGCAGTTAAAAGCATTAGGCTAAACAGCAAACTATTAGAACAAAACTATGTTGTCCAAGGTATACTACACATCAATTTTTTTGTAGATTGCAGACAACTAATATGTCTGATAGAAGATTCAATTTTGAATGCAAACAACAGTAACACAAAAAGTAGACAACACAAAAAGTAAAATTTAAGTCAAAAAAAGGACAACAGTATCTTCCTTTCTTTTTTTCTTAATTTTAAAAAAAAAAAAAAAGGAAGATACTGATAGAAGCCCATTATCACCAAAAATCAAAATAGAAACTAATTGAAGACTTCAAATTTGCTCTGGTTGGGAAGCTTTTACTTTATTATAAAAGGTATCATGCCCTTTGCAACATAAACTTTTTTGATACTTTTGAGAGAGAGAATGACCGAATTTGGGTTTTAGAATCCTCTCCACATAGAAAATTACTTTATAGTGATCAAATCTATTTACGAGTATAACAAAAGCAAAACTCCATATTCAAAGTGCCCTTCACCATTTAGCCTTGTGCATCATGGGTGAAAGGGTTTGGCTTTGCAAGCCTTGCCATATATAATCAACCCATTCAGGGTACAGGAGTGGATCAACAGATAGAGTGCATGAAGGGAAAGCTCAAAGGACAGCAATGTAGAAATCAATTCATAGTACATTATTACTCAAAAGATTATGGTCATAGTTGTTTATAGCAGTCAAAAGCCACTAGCACAATTGTAATCAGATTGTACGCAAAACGTTACAGTTAACCAATCACAAGTAAACCTGATAAATACACCAGATTGTGCCCACAAAATTCATAAACGTTTAGTAGGACGGAAATTCCATATGAAGTAGGAGAAAGGTGGATCCATCTGACCTCGATAGGCCATTGGAGTCTACTTTGAAGGGATTCGTCTTAAAAGCAACATCAAAGATATTTGCCTGGACTATCAATCTTGAAACATGATATGGTGAGCTGCAATAAGCAAAGTTGAAGAATTAGAAAACCTAACTAGAAAACTAAACGACAAAATAATAATAATGTCTCTCATGGTAGATTCCGTTATCTATCCAACAGGGAGATAAACACAACTCAATAGCTATTTAAATTTCCTCTGACCACAAAATGCTCATTCAATAACCCAACAGAACATAAACCTAAAGGCAGGTAATGTAAAAGTAATATAGTAGGATTCTCTTCAAAATTTCCAATTCAGTAGCATTGAAAAGGAGCCAGAGAAGTAAACACAGTTAAAGTTAATAACTTGATAGACAAAAAGGTTTACCATTTTAACATCTTTGCTAAAATGTTAACTCCCATTGACATCAACGCCACACCAGAGCAATTAGGAGACAGATTCTTGATCCAGGCACAAATGATTTCAGCCACATTAATACTGCAGTTGAAGAAGGGATGTTATTCAATGAAAAGACATAGTATTTTACCGAGAATTTGAGAATTTTTTTTTGGTGATTAAGTAACAAGCATATAGGATAAAGTTCAATTGAAAACTGAGGGGGTTCATTAATGAACTTATAGCCATACCGCAGGTGTTCTGTTGGTGAATTCATTTCATCGTGCATATAGCCACCAAGGTTCAGAAGAGAATAGCAAACACCCTAACCACACAATATTATCAGCAGCAAGAAAAATCAATAGCCAAAACAATTGTTGACATGCCATGAGAAACAGGTGGCAAATAGGATTACAAAAGTTTCATCATCAATTCCCGTATCTCAGCAAAGTTTCCATAGTGAGGAACCGATATTTTTCCATTACTTGGAGACTTTCACACTAATGGGCATAAAATCTCTAAAACTTTGTTATGGCCTACGGTTGTTCCTCAAAGTTGAAGCAAATATAGATGCAATCTGAACTCTTATTCTCAACCTCTCTAAGGGTCAACTAACTCTTATTCCAGCCTCGACTAACTCAATCTCAACCAATTTAAAGGATAAAATTGAAAGTGAAAAGAATCAAGAAACACTTCCAATTCCGTAAAGCATAAGGACTAGAGTGTAAATGCAGGAAGGTAAGAGTGAGCAGCCATGGTTGAGGTAACAATTGCATGTGTGAAATGGCTCAGAGATATGACTTATGAGGAGACACTTGCTGTTGTTGCCTTTTTGAATCCACATAGCTACCTCTCTACTTTCCGATGTCTGATTGTACAGAGGAAACCATTACACCTGCCAACAATCTTATCCTCTTTTCTTTTTATACACAAAAAAAAACAGAGAGTTGAATATAGAAAGCTGGTCCTAAACAGAAAGGAGTCAACGACTCCCAGTTAAAGCAAATAAGAAAGGTTGAGTTCCAGATCTTTCTCTCCGCTACACCCTTGACAAAAGTTATGTTACTTGGAAAACATGTGCATTAAGACATAGGAGCACAGCCATCTATATTTGATAGCAACCAAGATCTAATAAAAAGAAATCAAAGAAGTAAATAGGAAACTAGGTAAAACAAAAGGATAGAAGTATAAATAAGATTGGGGAGAACAGAAAATTCCAAGATAAGAAAAGTCCATCTGACAATTAAAGTAGCATTAAATCATCAGAATTTATCCACCAGGGAAGATAATGAACTCATACAGGGAAACCATACTAGACATGAATCCAAGAAAGGTTCAATAAGGAATTGATACAAACCTAGCTAATCTAAAGTGAAAAGGATTGAAGAGAGATGATTACACAAAACATAGTGCATCTTTAGCTCATCGAGGACATGACCCTAGATAGAGCATAGAGGTCGAGGATTAGGATTGACGATTAGTAGGTAATTGAGCATTTTCTATTTTCCATACCTATTATTATTAAGCAAGCTAATTATCTTATTCTTCAATTTTTATTACTTTTATGGTTCCTTTTAAGTTTACTACTTTACTGTTAGTACATCTCTTTTTTCAATATTTTCAGCATAGTTTTTTACTCTTGTAGTTCTTTTAAACATATTCTGCAAATTGATTTCTTTAGTCCAAGGTCTATTGGGAACAGCCTCTCTAGCCCACAAAGGTAGGGTAAAGGTTTGTATACACCCCACCCTCCCAGACTCCACTTGTGAGACTATAGTGGGTATTATGTTGTTGACAGGGCTTACTAGAGATTAGGATCTAGTCACTAAATAGTTTGATGTCTAAGCAAGTTAGTGATCTCCCTCTCAATTGTTTCTACCCCTTTAAGAAAGGGAACAAAAAGGAAGCAGTTATCTAACTCAACTCAAAGCTAGCGATGAGGTAAGGACTGTAAAGAACTTATAAGGAGACAACACTTGATTTCATCCACCAATGTGGGATACTTAACACACTCCCACACAACCAAGACTAGACATCTGAAACATGGAGGGCACAACATGGGGGGCTAGCACTGGGTACACTAAGAATAGGAATGGGTCTGTTTAGCTCTGGTACCACACTAAATTTGTGTGATCATTTCATCTAAAAGATTTAAGTAGTTGAGAGAACACTTTTTAATTTATTAACAGCATTCTCAATACACCATGTCACGTGCAGGTTTGATTCTTTTGTTCGCTCTTGTTAGAATAGAATAGGAAAACACAATCCTACACAAACTAGGAATAGTTTATAGTCTCCTATTTGGTAAGGAATTGTATTATATAGTATCTAATGCACGCATTAAATCTCTTGCATTACTAATACCTAGAAATCCATGATATTAGTAATACACACTTTAATACACAATAGAGTGTATAATTAATGCAAGCATTAGTAGTTATACATAGGTTGAAAAGTGTATCAAACAAGGCACTATTAATACACAGAGTTAATGCATGCATTATTTTTCCTAATACACTCTACCAAACGACCCCTAAGTGAAACAAAGAATACCTCTTTCCATTCACAACGTGAAACTGAACAAACTTAGGCTTTGCATAGACATGAAAAGACCTATCACAAGGCTGGTCTTTCCAAAACACTTGTTTTGAGTATTTGACTTGTTTTCTTTGAAAGTATGGTAGAAGTGGGGCAAGCTTGTTGAGATGAACACCTCGTAATTGAATTTGGTGTAATTACTAGGGTAGTAATTACATATTACATAAGACTCTTTGTTTTTTATAACATAATTACAATGTAATTCCATGTCATTTTGGCTGCACAAGTATAATTACATAGATATATTTTAAATTTTTAAAATGAAGTTAACAATAATGATAAAATAAACCTTTTTAGATTAAAAAAAATTAATGTGTAACAAATATACGTGCATATAAAAATATAAAATCTTATTTATTACTAGGTATTTAAAATGCATAGTTTTTAAAAATATATATTTATTAATTATAAATTGATAGCTACTATCATAAAGAGTAATCAGTTTCTTTCCACACATGAATATAATGGAATCTGTGATTTGTTCCATTCAAAATAATAAAAGAATTTATGAGTTTCGAAAACATTTTTCTATAACAAAATACTTGTACTAATTATAAAAAGAAAGAAAACCAGCAAAACACAAATTGTTTAAAATAAATGCTCCTATATTTGAAATGATAGAAATAAGTATACAATAATAATCCCTCCTTTCAGTTTATGTGATACCTTTTTTTAGTCCGTTCTAGAAAGAATGACACTTCTAAATTTAAAAACAATTAACTTTACACTTCCCAATATACCCTTATGAGAATCTTTTATAACCACAAATATTATGGCATGTGAAAGGCTATAGCCACACAAATACTATGGCATATTTTACAGCACAAGTTTCAAATGTCTTCATATCTTTCCTAAACTCCATGCCGGTTCAAATTATATCACATAAATTGGACAGGCGGGAGTAATATGCTTGAAAGACTAGAATAAAGGAGAATTTGAAAAATCACCTGGGAATTACCAGTAACTCTTAACTCCTCTTGAGAATTGGGAAGTGTAATTACTCCCCCTTAATTACATCCTATTCCATGCAGGCCATGTAATTACACCAGACAAAACAATCCAAAATTGTGTAATTTACATTCAGTAATACCCAAATCCAATTACAAGGTATCCTTCCAAAAGAGCTCTTAAAGAACAGGAGCAGTCATTACTGCAGCCGTTATTGCAGTTGACAAAGTACCATATTAATGGTAGAAAGAAATGGACAACAGAAAAGGACTAAGAGAACTAAGATTTCAGAAGTAGCATAGCAAACATCATCTGCAACCACCACCAGTGCAAATGGATACAAATGTATCACCCGTCATCAGGCACACTAAATCAACTAGAAATCAGTGCAAATGCATTTACATAGATGCAATGACACGAAGGAACAACTCTAATCGCTTAGATTGGGCAGTTGCAATAGATGTATCAAAATCACCATGCAAAGAAAAATTAATTTCGTGTGGATTACCATGTTGAAAGTCACAAGCCGGCTGAGAAATCCAAGAGTCATAACGATTTCACTGGTTTTCTCCAAGTACAGCCCTTGGGCCAAACGCAAAAGCAGCACGACAATCCCAGATTGCGGGAACTACAAATTAGCAAGTTACGATTACTGAAGCTGAATATAAAAGAGAAAAGGTTTGAATGTCAAACTCCTAACACTAGATCACAACAATTTTTTATCAGAAAGAAGAGAAAATGGAGACAGCAGCAGAGAGATAGAATGTGTGTTTTTTTACATAGGAAAATCCCAAAATAAAACTAAAAGATAGTTAAAACACAAGCAATGCAAAACAGAAGAACTAAAAGAATATCCTTTCAACAACAAAAGATCATTCTGAAGTATTCACATTATTGTATAAAACGGTCAGCAAAAGATAAAAATGGTAATGCTGACAAAGTGAAGGATGGGATTGTATATCAGTTCTTACGGAAAGAATATTAGCAGCAAAATATGATGAAATTTTAAATAATTCATATTCCTCTAATAATTTTACTTTGCTCTTTACCCTGGGGGGAGGCAGGGGGGGGGGGTAAGATTTTATTTTCCCTTATGTTCTAGCTTTATAGAAAACCAACCTCGGTTACAGGATAATTTTGGACAAAACCTTAGCTACTTTTTTAGCAACGTGACCCATAAATATATAGAATAACCGGGTAAACTTTTAGATCTTCAGCACAACAAAAACTTGAGAGAGAATTGTTTACATGCTAAGTAATCCAGGATGAATTAACTTGCTGACTAGCTAATCTTAAAATAAAAGATTTTTCCTTGGTGTATTCCAAATTCAGAATCAGAAGTGTACACATGACAATATCTGACCAATCATCAAATAACACCTACAAAATAATATGACTAATAAACGATATGAAATTCGGTTTCAAACAATTTCAAGTGAATTACATTTTCAAACACACTTCTAATCATGTGCTCAAGTCCATAAGGGGGATTGTATTATCAGACTGCATTAGACAGCAACTTAGGTGTGTTTGACCTCTAGCACACCACATTCTAAAACATGAAAAAGAAGCATTTTCGCCAAAAAAAAAAAACTTGCTGACTGGCCAAACTTCAAATACAAGATCTAATTTCCTTGGTGCATTTCTGGTTCAGAGCATGTGTGTGGATGACATTCTCTAATTAGTTGTCAAATACAGCCAACAAAATAAATGGACCTACTAACGATAAGAATTACAGTGTCAGGTAGCAAATTCTTTAAGCCAGCTACACTTTCGATCACACTTCTAGCTCTTTTCTCAAGTACAAGAAGGCATTGTCTTACATGAGTGCACGAAACAGCAATATGGTTTGGGTAACTTGAGTGATGCCACTAAGGCATGGAATGTGGCACCACTAGCACTTATGTGGGTCGTTTGGAGAGAAAGAAAAGGCTTTTGAGGGTGCAAAGTTGAATTTTATTCAAGTGAGAAATAGTCTCTTATACTTATTTCCATTTGGTGCACCCATGATGTTTCTTAATGTATAGAAGATTGATATCTTTAGTAGAAAACCATATTTATTTTGTAGATTTTCTACTTTGGGTATACTTCTAGTAAACGGGCAGCTTGTTATGCACACAAATATAATTTCATTACTTTTTATCAAAAAAAATTAGTTGGGGAGTTGGGTAGTGTTATCAAAGGTGCTTTTATGCCCTAAAATGAGGCTCAAAACGCATTGAGTGCTTCACCTCGCTTAATGTGCGCTTCAGTGTCATCATCAAAGCTCTAAGACATACTTCTCCTTGTGAATGAGCATTTCCTGAAGAGGGGATGCTAAACCATTGATATTTCAATTTATCATAAAAACAATCAATTTATTTGTCCATATATTTGTTTTCATGCTTATAATTATTAGTCTAACACTAAATACATATTTTGATGTTTTCTCCATTAGTGCCTTTTCTCAATAAAGCTCATGCTTTATTTGCGCTTTTTGCTCTTAAAGCCCCTATGAACCTTAAAAGTTTTTTTGCGCTTTTCGCTTTTGATAACACTAGAGCTGAGTTGTGATAATGGGAATCAAAAAATTACTTTTGAGCTTTTTATGCCTACACAACTATGTCTTAATTTTCATAAAAATTGTTTTGATTGGGAATCCTTTGTTTTAGAAAATCTCAAGAAGGTGGTTTGGATGAAAAAGTACCATATACTTCCATATGGACTAGGTAGAGAGATGCAGTGTTCTATTTAAACTCTTGCTAGAAGATACTTAACAGTGATAGAGACGACATAAGCTGGCCTCGCAAGCGATTCATGTGTCATAAATAGTGTTACAATTACTCATATTGATAAAAAGTCCAGGGAACAATGAAAATAAAGAAAGAATTCAGACCATAGAAACAGAAAGGCATGAATTGTTCTAGAAGTTCCTTCCAGCCCCATTGAGAGATTGTGGATATGGTTTCATTTTCCAAAGAGTCAAGTTATTGCTGGTGTCGTGCGTGAGTTGATATCATAGAAATGAACGCAACTTGTTAGGAGTCAGTTTTGGCTTGCACCTTTCCTCTTATTAGTCAAATAGGCTTAGAACCTTGTGCAAGTGGCTGCTAAGTGCTAACTACTTGCCCCGATCTCTGAAGTCTAAACTGGCTTATGCACTCCACTTGTTACCACTAGACGATGAAGCCAGGAGCGGAAGGAGGGACTGGAACCCTCAAACTAAGCCTTGGCAAGAGTATGCTCCACCATTAAGCTATTTCAGGAAGTCCTTAGGAATGAGAAAACCAACGAAAGCTACCTATGAAGTCAGATGTTTTATGTGGATAGCCTCACAGAATGCATGTCTCCACCCAAGGCAACCTTTACCGAAGGGTGTCAATTTGTAGCAGAAGCTTCATGTGCAACAGTGAGGAGGAAAGTGGCAGCCATCTTTTTTCACAATACACAGTACCAAGACAAATCTGGTTGCTGGTTGCTGTTTTTTCAACTTTTCAGGGTCTCGTTTGTCAGGCCCTGTTCAGTAAAGGATCATCTGGCCAGCAGGGGTGTTAGGGAATGCGTAAATCAGTGAGGAAAATTTGGAATACTGTGCCAGCACGTGTGTCAGATAATATGGAAGGAAAGGAGTGCAAGATGCTTTGAAAGAAAAATAACGGTGATACAGAAGATTAAGCACACTTGCTTATGGTTTGTGGCTATTTGGTCTAACCTACAGGATGTTTACAGTGAAAAATACTGTGCTTGACTTTATAGCCTCATTACAGGAGTAGAATGGAATCAGTTAATATTATTAGTTTGGTCTAAAACTGCCTTTGCCATCAATAGTTTGGTCCAATAAGGCCTTTATTGTTACTTAATGGATCGAAAATTCCCTTTTTCCAAACAAATATATTACTATTTCTTTTGCTTTTAAACACATTCTTTTCCTAATGATAATTTTTTTAATTAGAAAATGCTTATCCTACTTCAATTCGAAAAAGATTAAGAAATTCTATTTTATTAGGAATTTTTTATCATTGTCTAAATGAAAATTGATGACGGAGTTATTGTGATCTTATATATATATCCTACAGGCCCCAAGGCTTAGCTCAAGTGGCAAAAGGTGGAGGATTTGTGGCTCAGGTCCCAGGTTCAAGCCCCACACCATGCAAAGTGAAGTCCGGTATTTAAGTGGAGAAGGGTAGAGGGGCAGGCCCATTATCCACCGAGTTTAGAAGGCTGTGATTGGTCCAAAGGGCGGGTCACAGATGGATTTCTCGGTTATCAAAAGAAAAAAAAAAAAAATATATATATATATATATATATCCTACAGTATTAGTTAAAAAGGTAAATTGAGTTATTTTATTTTAATCGTTAAAGTGAGATTAAGAAGAAAAAAAAGATCATCTCCTACTTATTTATTAGTTAAAGTGAGTTAAAAAGAAAAGAAACAAGAATTAATTTTTTTAATAGTAATATTTTTTAGGAATAGCATATGTTTAAAAAAGAAAAAAAATACTATTATTTTCAGTAGGAAGAGGACATTTGTGACCCACTAAGTAACAATAAGGGCATTTTCTGACCAAACTATTAACCAAGGACATTTTTGTTAATTTCACATAGTTTAAGGACATTTTTTACCCTTTTCCGTTAATACAATTACTACTTTACCAGTTCGGAAAAAAAAATCACACTTCATATTATATCCATTATGGAATTTGCATCAAAGTCATATAGAAGGAACATAAAGCAGTCCGATATTAACATCTAAAAATTCTCTAAACATTGAAGTTTGGCTGTGTCAACAATAGAATGTTGCAAAACCAAAGTCACAAAATGAATTTTATCAAAGATATGCATCAACAAGAAACTAATACCAAGATACGCATGAAAATGAAGATGAATACAGCATAATTAGCTCCTAAAAAGTACAACTTTCGAAAAATCAGGGTAAGCTTGCTCCCATAGCTAGTGGTAGAAAGAATTGAACAGTCAAAGAAGCATAATAGTGAAATGAATATAATAGCAGTTATAGTTACCTCCCATCTAACTAGAGCAATATCCCTATCAATCATCTTTAACAGATGACCACAGGTTCCACTAGGAATGACCAGACCCTCAATACCAGGAAGATGTAATGGTTGGACCACCATAACAGTCTGAGAAGCATCATTCACAATTGCACAGCTACTGATGTCAACAGGAGATGACAATCCAGTGGACTTGTCGAGAAAATTAAATCTGTTCAAGACGCATACATAATTTCTCATAACACATTCTACAAGCAACATAAATGAAAGGATCCTTCATGATTCCTCGGAAAGAGAAAGTTACTTACACACATTCCGCAGGCCACGCTCCTTCACAAAGTGCAGTTAACAACTGTAAAAGCTCAGCAGTTCTAAATGGGAATTCACCCTCCAAGCTGCAAAGAAGGCACCTGATAGGACCATCAACAAAACTTTCCCTATCCCAAAACTGAGTACAGAGGGACTCCTGCACAAAATACGGCAATAGTCACCATGTATTAATGAGAGAACATATGAATTTGAAGGCTCAAAAACACAACAATCATCCAAACCTCCCCTTGATAAATTTTGCAAAGAATATCCAATATCAATTTCAGGTTACCATCCTCCAGCTGCAAAACAGGAAAGGCATGATAATTAAGATGTGTGTGTTCCTTCAAAAAGCAATGAAGTCTTTGAAATTAAATAACCTGGAGATTGATCTCATAAGATGCAATAAATGCTGATAAAAATGTCCGCAAAACACTTCTAAAACCAGTAATAGGACCCTGAAAAAACTAATAAATATCAAAGCAAAGATAAAATGATATAATGCACCACCTGAATATTTTAGAAAGGTAAGATGGGTGAAATATTATTTTCATATAATGAATAAACAAGCAATTCACTCACATCAAAATCCCTCAGTATATCATTTTCAATAATTTCAAGAAAAGAACTCAATGATCCAGCTTCAAAAGCTTGGCGGACATAACCAATATGATCGATCTCCTGAAACAGCATTAAGATATGCAAAACAATGTCAAAACTTTACAGCTATTGGAGAAAGCACAAGCAAGTCAATTACGCAATATGAAGCACAACAGACCATCAGTTTATTGTTTTCTTCTTTTCCTGGAAGAGATGAAATTAGACAGAGAAACACTGCCCATGCCAAAACCAATGGTCCCGATTCATTGTTTTCGAAAACATCAAAAGTGGACACCATAGCATCAATTTCTTCCACCTCCGACAAAGAAAAAGTAACATAACCCTGCCTGATTTTGAAAAAAGGTAGCCATTAAGTCAATAAGGAAATAGGACAAACATACCGAAGCAACAATGCTAAACTGTGAACAGAAAATCTTGAGAGAAGTTGAAGAACCCATAAGAAGATGAGAAAACAAGACGGAGGTTTATAGCTAACCAGTACTATTTGATCTTCCCTCCAATGGGGTCAATCATCCAGCAGAAAAGCCATGCAATTGCCCTCCATAATTAAAAGTAGATATAACACAATTTGCAACATGACTTGGAGAAAAAGCTATTCATACTCCAAAGGAGTTGCACTAGACTGCAGTTCATTGAATCATTCGAGACCATAATTGTGATAGTGATACATCAGTGCATATGATGTGTGAGAATCTTGTAGTTTAATTGATTTCCACTATGAAATGTTGTTTTACTTATTCACAGAAGTGCCAATAATGATAATCTAGTTTTGGTGAGCTGCTAGTGACATTAAATATAGTTAAAACTCAACAAATATAAAAAGAATATCTTGGACTGGGCGTGCGAGAGGCTGGTTATAGGGGATTCGCGGAGGGGTAGAGGTAGCCGAAGAAGTATTGGGGAGAGATGATTAGACAAGATATGGCGCAGCTTTATATTACCAAGGAGGCGAGGACATGACTCTAGATAGGAAGGAGTGGAGGTTGCGGATTAGGGTAGAGGGATGGTAGGGGTGGAGGGTGTCTTGCCTTGTGAAGGTTTAGGTTTGTTAGTGCATGTCTTAGTACTAGTCGTACCCTTGTAGTTCTTGTCATATGTTATTGTATTTGATTATCAATATTTTACTGTTGTTAGTGTTTTCTTGTGGAGACTTTGCACTGTTTTTGCTTTCTTCATTGTTTTCTTCTTATTCTCCTTGGGTTTGATGCACTTGAGCCGAGATTCTTTCATAAACGGCATTTCTATCTCCACGAGGTAGTGGTAAAGTTTGCATACACTATACCCTCCTCAGACCCCACTTAGTGGGATTTCACTGGGTTTGTTGTTGTTGTTGTTGTTGTTGTTGTTGTTGAACATAAGGACTGGCATAAACAAAAAACATAATAATCTTTAACTGCTCCACAGACAGCACCAAAGTTGATGCAACTCCTGATATGAAGCAATGATCCTAATTGACTTGGCTAATCAAATCCAGGCAGTAGTATTTATTGCTCTCACACGAAGCAATGAGATTCCATAATTGATTTGGCTAATCTAATCTTGGCCAAAGAATTTCACTACAGTACCTCCACTGCTCCACAATAGTTCACCAAATTTAGTTTGTTTAATAGGTCATTCATATGTTGTTTATTAACATATCTAGACCAAATATTTCTCAAAAAAGAAACATATAAAAACATTACTCAAAGTCATTTAGCACATAACCCAGAAACAAAGTCTGTACACCTAATTAATGTTAAGAATGCAAATATTTTCTTTAAAGTATGAAAGCTAAGTTGAAGAAATGGAATGCAAACTGTTAGAACATGGATACGTTTATACAATCCTATTAGAATAGGAATAGGTTTATACAATCCTATTTAGAATAGGAATAGGAATAGGAATACAAATAGAAATAGGCATAGTAAATAGTATCCTACTTGGTAAAGGATTGTATTCTAGTGTCTATAAATAGGGTCTCAATGTAATAATGTAGACACAACAACAATTCAATACTATTCTTTTCCTATATTTCTCACACAAACAACTATGGGAATTTAAAAATAAAGAAGATAGAGATAATGAACCAGAGTTTAATACTGGGTAACTTGCAAGAATTGAGCACGCATTTATTGAGGATGAAATATTACAAAAAGCTAATTTTATATGGAAATCTAAGAGGTAACTAAATATGAAGAGATTTAATGGAGGCAAATGTCTAGAACTTAATGGTTGAAGGAAGGAGACAAAAACACCACGTTTTTCTAGAAAATGGCCAGCTCTCACAAAGATTTAACCATATTGATAACAAGGAAGTTCAAGGGAAGTTATTACTGATCCTAGAGATACAAAAATGGAAATAGTAGGCTACCATCAGGATCTTTATGCTGAAACTGAAACCTGGAGGCCTGAATTCAACATGACAGGAAGGTCTTTCATCACAGAGGAGAAAGAGTGGCTGCAAAGAGACTTTGATGAAACTACAGTGTTGGAAGGGTTGAAACTCTATGTGGCTGATAAAGCCCCTGCATATTTTGTGTATGTTGAACCTTGGCAAGGCATATGATCATGTCAACTGCAACTTCCGAAACTTCATTATGAGAGCATGCGTTATGTATACAGGTGGAGAAATTGGATAAGATATTGAATATCTACAATTAGACAATTGTTCTAGTGGATGAATGGTAGCCCTTATGGACCTTATGAGGTTTTGGGTAGTTCATGGGGTTCTTCGGTGCCCGACAATGCTCCTCTCTCCTGCAACATGTGCCCTGGTCTCCATAAGACCATTCAAACATGCTCTTCTATCTAAGATCATTCAACTACCATTCATCGCTCTAGAAACCAGTGATAACAGCACAGCAAATTTTACATGATAGACTCCCTCCTCTAAACTTTGAATTTATTGCCATTGTTCTGCAAATTCATGTTACACTGATAATGTTCAGAAGATTTGCAACACTATCTTTTCCGATGATTGAGAATAGATTTCTCTCTGTATGTAGTGCTAGAAGCACTTTTTTCATTGTGTAGTTACCAGTGAATTTCTGGTATAAAGAATTTCAACACTACTTTTAGTTTTGGTGGTTGTGCACTAGCCACTATTCTAGCAAGAGTTCAGCACCAACTTCTACATTTTTTAAAATAAGCAAATTCAAGTTGGTTTCTCCATGTTGAGTTTGAAAGGACATGTTAGAATATCAAGTGCATATGTATCTAGATTCATACACGCCTGGATTCATTATACTTGAATAAGAAAGATCATAGAGAATATTCTACAGGACACTATATAATATTGTATATTTAATTACAAATATTACACTTACCTAAGCTTAAACAGAGAGATGCTTATGTATCATACTCTACATAATCCAAAATTCATATTTCTTGAGCACCTCTGGTACATTATTACTCAAGCCAATGAGAAGCTTTTTATATTTCACATGTAATAGCAGAATAATACGAAATATTGGAAGAGGGTGGAAAACTAGAAACATTAGTATTCCTTTTAGTGTGGTCTTTGGAGAAACATTATGCAGTGGTGAGAGGATCTAAGTGGTAATATAACTTTCAAGACATGGGAAAGAAGTAGGCTTAATTATTGGGAGCACATGTGGTGTGGGTATAACATTCAGAGATTACTTTTAAAAAAATTGAAATAAGTTGGAAGGTCATTTTTGGAAATTTTCATAAAATTACAGTTTTACCCCTCCCTATAATTGCCCCGGGTCATTTTTTATCAATCGGTGAAGTTGGTTTGGGAATTTTGGCGCTATTCATTAACTACAGTTGTTTAGTTGACGGGTAATTTTAAATAATTAATTTGATTGATGGTTAATGGACTAAAATATATTGTTAATTTATTTAATACCCTATATCACTTGGCCCATATTTATTAAAATGAGTTAGTGGGGTTAGTCACTTTTAGTACATAATTATTTACAAGGGAAAAAAGGGGAAAAGGTCTGGAGAATACCACCCCCGCCATCGACACGAACACTTGACACAGGTAATTGCTACGTCTAAATCTTTCCTTTCAATTATTTTGATGGTCAATTAACTATGACTGCCAGCAATTAGTATTGGCCATTATTTGGCAATGATTGAAAGTGGCAATATAATGGATTCAAATTGGGTTAAGCTTTCTGTTTGGTACTGGTTACATATTATTGTTAATATTGAGTTTTTTTCTTATGTTCATCACATAATGATTCGAGTTTTGACATATTGAGATAGGTAATTAAATATTGGGGGTATGATATTATATGAAAACTATTAGGGTTGCAGTGTTTGGAGAAATTAAGACTAAACCCTAGGTTTGAAATTTAGGAAATATGAGATTTGACCTATTGGTTGGCATCAAGATTTAGGAACTTGGTTATAGAGTTAGGTGAGTTTTTGGGTCAAGGCTAAAACATACAGTAATATGCTAAAACATGAAGAAAATGGCCATTTTGTTTTTGCACTGCAGGATGGCTGCAGATCTGTGGAACATGTTCATTTGTATACTCGGGGTTAACTGGACAATGCCCAGAAACACTTTTGAGGTACTAACACGCTGGCAAGGAATTGGGAAGAGAGGATTAAAGGGAGATTGGTGGAAAAATGTACCTGCTTGCATTTGGTGGACACTATGGAAAGAAAGGAATGGAAGGTGCTTTGAAGGGAGGACTAGCAGTGCCTAGACGATCAAGATGAGATGCCTTAGTCTTTTGTTTTTTTGGTGTAAGCAAGATTTAGTGGGGGAAGCAGATAGTTTAGTAAAGTTTATAGGACAATTGTAAATTTTTGAAAATTTGGTTTTGGACTTGAGAATGATGGCACCCCCGGGGGGTTTGTAAATCCCTCCTCGTCAATTTCTTGATGAGGTCTTTTGTGTGAATACAAAGTTACCTATTTCAAAAAAATACAGTAATATGGGTGTGGTTAGTTTCAAAATTTTATTGTGATTACTTATTTGAATAAATTGCATTGATTTGGAAGCACAACGAAACGGGAAGGCTCAAGTCCCGGAGTGATTGTTCGATTATTTGAGGCAAGTGGATTTCTCGACCCTTGTTAAGTGTATAGAATCGTGTATTTCTTTATGGTATGTGTTGGGGAGTAATGGAACTTGGTGATGGGTTGACTTGTTCATATTAAATGATCCTAATGATGAAAAAGGGGTAATAAAGACAACTTCCACGGTTTGGTTTGGTGTATTACAAATAACATGCATTGCATAATTTCTAAAAATAATTGTTTTCAAAGATACCCTCCATATTTATACACTTTCAGGGGAAATTGTATCTTTTACCATGCATTAGCATGCATTAATAAACTTGATATTGTTAAGACCTGGTTTGTTATGTATTAGTTATACATAGGATAGTACCAAAAAGGGTGTATAACTAATTTTTACATAGGTTGAAAAAGTGTATCAAACAAGGGAATAGTAATACCAAACCTAATACTGCATTATTTTCTCTAGTAACTATTATCAAATGACCCCTTTGTGTATATTGGAGTTTTTCCCCATCATTAATGAATTTACTCCTTACTTGACTAAAAAAAGTACAACAGTAATAGTAAGCATGGAGCTAATGAACTGTTAACAACAACCTGAACGGAGTTTCATCATGAACCATCTGCAAAAGATTTTCCAAATCCAAAGTTTCTATGAGGATAAGCAGCAGCTGCAGTTTGGCATGATAAATAGAGGAAACTGCTTCAGCAGATACAGCCAACTTCCCAAAATTATAAGAATTTGAAATGAATCCCTGAAATAAATTGTGCTAGAATCAGCAAATATGCAAGTCTAAGAGATAATAACTCCAACTGAAATTTCAAGGAAGTACCTCATAAAGTGAGCACAATTTTTTCCACAGTTCACCCGTGCAGGGGCAGAACTCGTAAAATATGAGGAAAAGAACATCCAATACAAGATTGTCTTCAATTACTATTTCTTCAGCCCACAAAGTATAAAGGTCAACATCCTATTTTGCATGAGAAGGCAGGTACTTCAATCTATGAAATGATTAACAAGAACGGATTGCACTAAAAATGAAAACAAAGAAGAAAGTACGAACTAGAACTCTGATATATAGCATTTAGACGATGATGGAGTCTATCTAAAATGCTGAAACCTTGTCACCAAGCTAATTCAGCCATTCATGCAATAAGACAGAAAACTAAAATTTATCTAATGCAACCAATAAATTAGAATTTCTAATTAAGAAGAGTAGCTTATGTGGGAAACAAAGTACAGAACTGTTTTGACATGGCTTCCAAATTAACATTCGCATGTTTCCCTTGATGTCCTTGGAGCAACAAGGACATTATCTCCAAATTCATTTAGTAGAAAGTCATAGAAGTCCAGATCTCACATTTGCTTCCAAGTTTCTTCAATCCTCACCTTTTACTTGTTGCTTCATAAGCTCTTTTTACTTCATATTAATGCATCCCGATCCAACAGTGCACGCCTTTCTTTTTTCTTTTTCTCTTTGATAGGTAAAAATGTATTCCTTTCTAATACACAAGTATGTATATTATTATCTTATTAGTAGAGAAGGGATTATGAAAATTGGGTGATTGTGCAGAGAAAGTCACCTTCGAAGGTGAAGTTTCACTCTCGTTTTCCTTCCTCTCCTATAACGCACACATTTATTCTTGTTTTCCTTTTCTTAGTGCGGATGAAAGGCCAAGAAACCACTCTTAGTGGCTCATACATCCATAACTATCTATCATTAAGTTCTTAAATGAGCCAAGGGTCTTTCGAAAACAGTCTCTCTACCTCAACGAGGTAGTGGTAAGGTTTGCGTACACTCTACCCTCTCCAAACCCCACTTAATGGAACTTCACTGGGTATGTTGTTGTTTCTGTATTAACTTCTTAAATTAGCCACTTCAGAGACTTGTCAAATTATCCAATCCCTTAAAGCCCATCCCATGCATGCACAAACTTGCCCAGCACTTTTGATCACCACATCCTGAGTTGAAGTCACACAAACTCAATCCTGAACACCGAATACAAAACATAGTTTACCATGTTCTCAGGAAAGTTAGAGTGTAGATTCTCCTGCAGGACAGAAAAGAATTTCCTGTCCAGTCCATCAGAAATCAATTTCTGTGCCTCATCTACAATAAACGAATCTTGAGATCTTGTCGCGATATATACTGCATTAGGAGACGAATAAGATAAGTAATACATGAATTTATATAATGCATAAACAAGTATGGTGGAGACATGTTATAGAAACAAAAAGTAATCAAAGAAAATATATGTAATTTTCAAACAAATGTGTATATGCATAAAAACAAGTATGGTACAGACATGTTATAGAAACAAAAAGTAATAAAAGAAAATAGATGTAATTTTCAGATAAATTTATATGCATAAACAATTATGGTGGAGACATGTTATAGAAACAAAAAGGAATAAAAGAAAATAGATGTAATTTTCAGATAAATTTATATGCATAAACAATTATGGTGGAGACATGTTATAGAAACAAAAAGGAATAAAAGAAAATAGATCTAATTTTTAATAAATTGATACATGTACATCGGAATCTAAGCCAAGCATCTAAAAGAGTCAGAAAAAAAAAACGAGATTGAAGAAACAATCAAACAGATCATTGATAAGGACTCTCAGCTCTATGTTGGCATTAAAACATTGAAAATATCAAACTATGACAACAGTCTCAAATGACGATAAATTTGTATTGTGAATTCGAAAAGAGATTTTCAGCTCATTTGTACTCCAATCAAAAAACAATAATTTCATGAGATAGAAGCAACAATTGGTACTTGAATGGAATCTCGTAGAAAGCTGTTTTTTTCTTTTGAAGAACACTTCACTAGAAATCCCAAAATAAGCTGATGGAGTACATTCTATACTAATATAACTTACAACTGAAAATTAAAGGGAAAAGGTGACAAGAAAACATCAGCCTCTCCTGAAATCAGGCCTAATATCCATGTCAACGCACAAGTACTTTAAGTGTTCTTATAGGGCAGCCATGTTGCTGAGTTATCATTTTTCTCAACAGCAAAATATTGTCCCTCTAACAAAGACAAGGGGACACTACATAATTCAATGTCCAAAATTTAAGACAATACTCAAGAATCAAAGCATTTCTTGTTGCACATATTCTACCAGTACAATTTAACACTATGGAAGCAATTGTTTACTCAAGTTTAAGTGATACCTTCCAAAGATGGGTGCCACTGAGACATAAAGGTAAGTTTTATAGAGTAGGTGTTAGACCGACTATCTTTAAGAAGCAGAGTGTTGGTCAGTCAAGAATTCACATGTGCAGAAAATGAATGTAGCAGAGATGAGGACGCATAGAAGGATATGTGAGAACACTAGGAGAGATAAGATTAGGAATAAAGATATATGGGGCAAAGTGAGAGTTGCCTCAATGGTAGATAAATGCGGGAAGCGAGGTTGAGATGGTTCAGACATGTTAAGAGCAGATGAAAAAACACAGAAGCCCTAGTAAGGAAGTGCCAGAGTTGGCAGTGATAGGTCTAAAGAGAGATAGAGGTAGATTGGGGAAGAATTGGGGAGAGGTGTTCAAATATGACATGGCACATCTTCAGCTCACACAGGACATGACCATACATAAGAAAGCATTGACATAGAGAATTAAGGTAGAGAGTTAGTAGGTAGAGAGTTGTAGCTTAATGCACCTTGCCTACTCCACTTGCATTACTATTAGAATTATCTTATTCTACAATTGTATCCTTGTTGTTTCTTTTACTTGAGTTATCTTTACTATTTTTGTTGTCAGTACTTTCCTTTTGTAGAGTATTTCACTGTAACTTTTGCTCTTGTATTTGTCAAACCTACTTTTGAAAATGCTTTTCTTGAGTTGAGTCCCTAGACCCCACGTGTGGGATCACGCTAATATGTTATACCATTCAGAACTTGTAATTGAACACTTAAGTGTACCAAAATGCTAGCATGAAAGAGTGCACAATAAAATCAAGGAAAAACTAAACAGCGTCCTTGAAGGTTTGTTTGTGGTGCGCTTAAGCTTGAATTCAAGTTCATTGCAAGTTGGACACTTCCCACACTTTGACAACAGTCAAATGCAAGCACTAAGGTTCAATTCATCATCCACGATTTTGTCTTGAATGACGAAAGAGCTAGCACTAAACAATAAGTACAGCTACCAAAAATAATATGTTAAGTGTCCTGCAAACCTTTTTCCTTTTCAAAAAGAAGAGTTATGCGAACGTTATTTTAATGAATGTTAGTAATCACAAAAAAAATTATAGTTTTAGCATAAGAAAGACCTACAACCTCTTGGAATCAATGCAAACTTAGCAAATGATAGGATGTAGTGGATGAAAGTTTATATATGTGATACCAATTAATTGGGAATATATTTTTTAGTCATGTTTTTTTTTAAACTGGTAACTTTAGTCTATATATCCACAGGTATACTTCAACAAAAGTGTAGTTCTCCTTCAAAAGTGTTACAACTTACCAAGAAAACAGTCTTAGTCTAGATTGTTGCCTGTAAACAATCTAGCACATCAAAGATGTCTTCTGTCCTAGTTAATATATCTTATTTACACCAAAAAGAGGACAGAGCTAAGCAATTCATCTTGATCTTCTGTAAGCTATTCTGCCCATTTTCAAAACCCCTGTTGTTTGTCTCTTTCCAGATTGTCCACCAAATACATGCTAGATTGTCCGCCAAATACATGCTGGGACAAGTTTCCATCTCTTCTCCTTATCAGAAGCATTGTCATCTCTATTCCAGCTGCTCAGGACTCCTTTAATGCTCCCTGGTTTCACCCATCTTATCCCCTTTAGACAGATGAACATTCTCCATAATTGTTCTGCATGTTATTACGTTTACTCTAGGCCCTATGCTTTCTAGCAGTTTTAGCTCTAGAGATTCTTATGCCAATATAATATACAGAACTTCTGGTACTTTTGATTATTATTTTGTACTATATTGGACTGAGATGAATTTAAATAGGGAACATGTTCAGTAATTTTTCATAGAATTGATCACAACTTGTTTGGGATTGAGGCGTAGTGGTTATTATTTTTGTTGTAAACTTGTTTATAAATATGAATTAAAAACATAAAACTACATCGTTGCATCCAAATCAAAATCATCAAATGATTTTGAACTTGATTGACAACGATTTTTACTTAACATTTTTCACTTAATTGTCCTGATTAAAAGATAAGCATACTTCACTTAATTGTACTTTTTGATCTTTTTTATTTTTAATAAAATCAAATATCATATCATTAATATCAAACAAAGCAGGTGTCATAAACTATTTACAGCAAGCGTAAGTGGTTATATTAATATATTTGCAACTATAGTTATTTTCTTGCATTACATATATTTTATTTCTATTTATTTCGTTCCTCTACACCTTTTTTTAACTAACTCACATTTTGATTGCATTTTGCTCCATTTTCACCTTCAACAACACCAGAACTAAGTTTAGAACAACATCAACGTGCTTCTCAGCATTTTCACATCACAGTGTAGCAGCACAATGAACAAAGATTTCATTAAAATGACCCTAAAATATCTGGCTACAATTGATATACAAAATTTAGAGCACAAATTAATAGTCTCAACTAAATATTTCAGCCTAGGAAATTACCAAATGTTGTTGAAAAGCATAACTCATATATGAAACACTGCAAGGACTGTGCAGAACCTATGCACCTCCTATTACAGTTGTTTAAAAATAACAATGCAATAAGTAACAACCAAACAGAAGAAAGACTCACAAGCTTGCATAATTATATGGCGTGTGCACTTCATTAAACATTGGCGTTCCAAATAATACTGAAGCATAACCTGGATAACAACAATAAAAAGAAGAAAATGAAACAAAAGAGAACTTGTACAAACATCTCCTGCAACAAATAGTTCAACACAATGAATGAGGCACTACTACATTCTTAAAATTAAATTTCAAGTGAACTGTACTTTGTTGCAAAGGCATGGCTGGACCAACAAGGACCACTGTTGAAGTAAATTACCATGTGTCACTTTGTTCACCTGAAATTCTCAATACTGCAGGACTTGGGTGGGGCTTGGGTGTGGGTGTGGGTGTGGGTGTGGGTGTGGGCTTGGGCTATAGCAGTGGGGATAGATATAGACATGTTTCCTGTTTATACCTCAACAAGCTAGAAGTTCTTTTTCTTTTTCTGATGACTGAGAAATCTGTTTGGGGCCAACCCTACCCCCTCTTCCCTTCTCCACTTAAATATCAGGCTTAGTTCACATGGCACAGAGCTCAAGCCTGTGACCTCACAAGTCCCTCAACCTTAGGCACTGAACTAAGCCACGGAGGCGAAGCGACAAGCTAGAAGTTATTATTCCACGCAATATTAATAAAAACTGTTTCCTCCAAAATATAGTATGAGTAGCATTAGAGAATGAAAGAGCAAGGGAATTCTGTCACTAACCAAATGAGGAAGCTCGTGAAATACACCATCAGCAACGATACTTTTTTGATTAATGGTTCTATCAACAAGAATATATGACTGCACCTCATCCAAACACTGCAAAAATATGAGGATTTAGCCCCTTACAACAATTAACTAAATAAGGGCAAGATGTAGAATAATAGTAATGGTGATCCATGTCAAACAGAAAAAAGTTAGAATAAAACAACTTTCTGTATTGAAAAGCGACTACAGGCCAACCACGCAACAATATGATTTGAGTACCGAACATTGCATATGGTCCAGAAAAAGTAGAGTTTTACCAAAGCAGAACTAATTTTCAAGGCTGCTTCTTTTTTATCAGCTTCTACAGTAATCTGGTGTAGACCAATCTTCAGTCGGCTGGCATCTAAAGCCTCCCTTGATTTCAGGTTTGGTGGCTTAAATAGTGAAACTGTGTCCAGAAACCATGCATGATTTACCTTTATCTTCTTCTCCTGAGTAATAAAAATAAGATATTAATAGCTGTACTACATAGCAGAACATTGATTTTCTAATGCAAATTTCAGTTCCACCAAAAACCATTTCCCTATGATTTCAAAAACAAAAAAAACAAAAATTGCTACTCTAATTACCAGAGGAGGAGGGAGGTCAGAGGAGGGAGAAACAGATTCGAGTTCAGCGAGCAAGTGTGGGAAGGGGTCCCACCAAAGCGAAGCATCAACAATCTTGGTGGTGCTTCTTCTTGAAGCTTCATCATTAGCTTCTGTAGTTGTGGCCATTGGAGTAACTAGAAACCCTAGCAAACCAATTCTTCCAACCCGCGCTTTTCTTCGTTCGAATTTGAGAGCACAAGAGTCACGGCGCAGGGTTTTATGAGCAACCACCACCTGCCAGCCAACAAGCTCAGGGTTTTACCTTTTTTTTTTAATTTATATAATATACTAAGTAATTTACCGTGCAAAATAAATAATTTTTCTAAGTTTTTGAACAGCTTTTCAATAATTGACTGTTATAGAAAAAAAAAAGTAAATTTTAGTAGGTTTTAAGAACATTTCAACATAAATTAAAGGGAGAAGGGATAAATATACCCCCGAACTATTATAAATGGTATGTCAATATCCTCCGTTATACTTTAAGGTTGTATATAGGCCGAAAAGGGGTAAAAAATTATATATAAAATAAGTTCAGGGGGTAATAGAACCTTAGTAAATGTTAGGTGTGTCTCAAGGATTTTGGGCATAGGCTGGGGGATACTTATGCATTTTCCCTTAATTGTGTGAAGGAAATTATTTAATGGACTTTATAATGTGGACCCATTACAATCTAACTTCATCTTTTTTTAATTCTTCCTAGTTCACTCTTTTTTTTATTCCTCTTTCTTCATCTTTTCTATAATCCTTTCTCTTTTCATTTCATTACGTGCAAAACTAATTCTATTATACAAATTATAATTCCATAAGATATTTTTCGATACAATCTATCAATGATTTTCTAATTTTTGAACTTGTAAAATAACATTTATTTATTTCTATTATATACAAATCATCCTTTTCTAAAATTAAGCACATAAAAAATATTTGCTTAATATCTAACTTCATAAAACAAAATTTGTTGGAGATCTACAGTATTACATTAGTTTTCTTTATTTTAATTTCTTGATAGTATATTTAATACACTATCATCAATATTAAAAAATATATGATTTGATTATTTTTTTCTTCACTAATATACTCATTTGAATATTATATTTCATAATCATATTTTTAAAAAGAAATAAAATAATTTTTGTATGATATACTTTAAAGATAATTCTTTTCAGGCAATAACAATTTTTTTCTAATAAAGTTTATGCTTTTATGTGATAAATATAGAAAGATAAATTACGTGTAATAACTCTTAAAGTTAGATGGCCTTTATGTAATAAAAAAATAAGAAACTAATTTTTCGTGTTATAATTTTATTTTTATTTTTATAACAAAAATATGACATAACGCTCTAAAATAAGTTAATTACATTCAAGATAATTTTAAAAACTTCCCTTAATCTTTTGCTTCATAAGTATACAATACTGCATTTGCTTTCATTAGTTTGATTCTTTATAATAATTTAAACACTCTATTATCAATACTAAAATATATATATATATATATATATATATATATATATATATAATTTGACATTTTACCTTACTAATATACTCATTGTAAAGTAAATTTCGTAAATACTTTTTGATTTTTTTTTGTGTAATAACTTTTATGTGATAGAAAAATAAAAAAAAGTTTACGTAGTAAAAGTACTACAAGTTACAACCTTTCTGTCACGACCCAGAGTCCCAGACCGTCGTGATTGGAACCCACACTAACCCTTCGGTGGGAGAACCATTACTATGACCCAACTAAGCAATTTAACCAAAAGCTAAGCATTTAAAGCTAGGGAAGCAGGTTTAAATAATTAAATAATTAAATAATTAATACGGAGTTCCCAGAAACTCCGGGAGTTCAACTAACATCTAACAACGAATGCGGAAATAACCCCTAGAACCTGAAAGTCATTGTACCAAAAGATCTAAAGTTCAACAAGTCTAAGGAAAGGGGTACAACCCCAACCAACATAAACAACTACTAAAGCAATGTCTAAGTCAGAACAGAATGAACTAAACAAAAACGAAGGATCCATGACAGCCTGAAAGAACTGGCTCACCCTTGAATCCGGTCTCAATCAGATATCTCCTAGCTGAGGTCTACCCGTAGCCGCTTGAAGATGCCTTGGACTCAACAAAGAACGCACAAGTGCAGTATCAATACACAATCATATTCCAGTTAGCGAAACATATATAAACAGTCACAACATAGCAAACACGCATATACATAATATCAATATATATATTAGTTATCATTTCCGGAGCAATGTACAATTCAACATTCTCAACAAGTATATATAACAAGTTAATGGTCTTCTCATGGAACCCATACCCAAACTATTAGTGTGCCGAAATGTGACATTTGATCCCAATTAGTGTGTCGAAATGTGACACATGATCCAATGTATGTGTAGGTACGTGACACCCGATCCCAATTAGTGTGTTGGAACATGACACCCAGTCCAATATATGTGTCAGTACGTGACACCCGATCCAATCATCATACCACAATCACAATGTACATTATCATAATCATACAATCAAGTATTGATTCATGGCATACAATCGTTCATTCATACTCATTTACATTAGGTTTGATCAATAGTGCTATATTCACATACATACATGCATTACAATGAAGCAAATACCCACATACATCACATAAACATGAAATAAAACCATCACCTACCTCGAAATCAAGCTTGAATCCATGTAAGACACTTGATTCTTCCCTTTCCGAATTCTTTACGCTTGTTCTAGGTCTACAAACAAGTAATATAACGCAAGGATCAATAATTAAGGTGTAATTTACCCGGATTATAACAACCCAATACCCCAAGACCAAATCCATGATCCCAATACCCAATTTAGGACTTTTTCCACCATTAACTTCAGATCAAAACCTTCCTCTAATAATAATTACCCAAGAATCTAAGTTCTACGGATCGAAAAATGGATTAGGGGAGTAAAAACCTTACCTTTAGTGCTAGAAGAGGTGGAAATCCTTCAAGAAATATCCTTGGGTCATCTCTTAGCTATCAAGAACGAAACTTGCAGAAAATAATGTTTTTGGGGTTTAATCCCGTCGCGATTGGCCCGCTACAGCGTACCTCGTCCCGCCACATCTGCCTCTCCTTGGAGGCTTGTGCGGAGACAAAATGTTGGATTAGAGTTTCAAATACCCATTTCACAACACGCCTTCAACCATGACATTCAAAAACTACCCGTTCACGCTAAGATCAGTTTCAAGAGTTCTACTCACCCGAATTCGATTCCGTAAAGTTGTACGGGTTCCTTAACATCTTGGCTATCCACTCATGTCATCAAATTCATAATTAAATCTCTCACTCATTACCAGATTTTTCCAGACCTCACATGACTCAGATTTCGTCCAAATTTGGACTAGGCTAGAAATTCTCAAGTCACTATCCAAAAGTTTTTCTAGTCCCATTCTTTCCCCATTTGCTTTTCCCTAATGACGAAAACATGTCGTTACACTTTCTCATACTAATTTGATGTAAATAAATATTTAAAATTCTTAGTCAAATTCACAAAATTTAACTCTTAATAAGTGAAATGTGACGATAAGTTTGAAACTCGGGGAGTAAAATATAGGAAATTATCTTTTGTAATAAATAATTACAAAAAATATATAGATACATAATTTAGATTTATTTAGACATAATAATTTAAATTACTTAATTAGAGGTCATATTAATAAAAAAAACATTAGTAGTGATTTGCAAGTTATCAAAACACCGTAACATAGGGATGCAAGACTAGAACATTAATGTATGATTTTCTTTGGTTATTTATTAACTAAGGTCGCATATGTGAATTATATATTTTTATAATTTATATAATGTTTAGTAGTTTAATACGTCCAAAGTGTTTTGAATTTATGTCATTATTAAAATATTTAAATATAATAATTGATAAGCTGTTATAATAAAAAAATTAATGATTCAAAAGCTATCAAAATTATATGATTCTTCTAATTTTTATATGTATTGATATCCACTATATCTAAAGTGTTTTGAGTTTTAAATGTCGTTATTGGAATTATTTTAGATAATAGATAAATATTAAAAAATATAATGTTTCGATTTCTAACATATTGTTTGATCTTTATAAAAAAAATATATTGTGTAAATTATGTTGTATTATTTTTATTTTTATTTTTATCGTCATCATCATCATCATTATTATAACTTTGCGACATAAATTTGATATACTTTTGTTAAATAAAGTGGTTCACATATAACTACTGTAACACAAATAGTTCAAATAACTTTTTCACTTGATGGAAGTGAAAATATTGAATTTTTAAAACTTATTTGTTTTAATTTTTTCTTAAAACAAAATTTATATAGGGACATATGATCCATCTCACAAAGTCCGATAATATATTTGATACTTCTCACATGTGATTTTTTTTGTCACCTTTTTATTTCAACGATTAATTTCAGTCTTAAACATCTTATTTATGGATTTATTTGTTTATCATTATCTGAATATTTTGTTTCTATTTAATTTTTTTTTATCATATGTGTCGAACCAAAGAGAGTCAAACATTTAGTATTAATTATATAAGTCTTATCTCCTATTTTTTTTGTCGATTTGATAAATTGTGAATCATTACTTATGCTTGTTACTAAAATGACCTCCAACTATGTAAGGTTTAAATAAAATTAAGCTATATAAACAAATAATTTTTAAATGTAGTTTGTAAAATATTGGGATAACGACAACTCAAAACATATTAGACCTGGTAAATATCGATAGTTATAGAAATCATGCGTATAACTCATACATGTCGAACCAAAGAGAATCAAGCATAAATAGTATTGATCATACAAGTCTTCTCCCTATATTATATCGATTTGATAAATTGTGAATCATTACTTATATTTGTTACTAAAATGACTTGCAATTAAGTAATTTTTTAAGCATTATGTTTAAATAAAATTAAACTATATATTTAAATAATTTTTAAATGTAATTTGTAAAATATTGAGATAACGACAACTCAAAATACATTAGACCTGGTAAATGTCGATAATTATGGAAACCATGCATAAAGTCCATATATGTCGAACCAAGGAGTCAAACATTAATAGTATTAGTCATACAAGTCTTTTCTCTATATTACGTCGATTTGATAAGTTATGAATCATTAATTATATTTGTACTAAAATGACATCTACCTAAGTAATTTTTTTAATTATTATTTAAATAAAATTAAACTATA